TTGGTCTTATAACCACTGATACAGGTATGGATTAGTTTGTGACAGCGTTGCCGCAACAGTTCAAATTCAACCTTGTCTCGCAAATTACCATACTTGCGATATCTTCTCCTAATTCTATTCTTCTCACTCAGTAATTTTATTAAATTGTTATTAAACCAAGCGGGATATTTCGTTGTCTTAACCTTTCGTTTGGGGATGTGATTTTCAATAATACCATCCAAAAAACCATAAAATGCTGAAGTCATCATATTCACATCCTCGTAACCGCCCAGAACCTCCTGCCAATCAATTTTCTTGATTTCATCCGTAATTGTCGTGTAATCAGCCTTGTAAAAATTACGATCCTCTCGTTTATTTGGAAGGAGATTCCGTATGCAGTCATAGCCAGAATGTGGTAAGGTTAATAAAATATTGGGATGATAAGCATCCAGTTTGCTCAGTACATCTAATGGTGTTGAAACAAATGCATTTTCAATATTACTAAGTGCAAGATCTAAAATTTTACCATCGCTGTTAGTAATACCATTTAATTGGTATAAGTTATTCAGTGACATAAAATCAGTTAAAGAATAACCCAATTTATTGCCATAATTGGTAGGTGTCATATGAGTACATTTATCTTGATTGTTCCAAGCAATGAAGTCCAAATTAAAGTCACCCAATATGACCACCACGTCCATGTTACTTATCATTGCATCAACATTATCCAGGAAGTGTTGCTGTTTTTCCAATTTGGCGGGCGATGGCAAATACACTGCACAAATCGAGAGAATTCGCTTACGCCCATTTAATTTCAGCTCGACATTGACCCATAAATCTTCACAGTCGCTTTCCCAGTTCTGTAATCTTGTCGAAGCAAATTCTCGCGACACAGCGACCAACACACCACCGCCATCTAACTTTGTTTTTTCAGAACAAACACGATCCCTACGGTATACAATGTAACGTGAGTCTATAAATTCGCTATTACAAATGCTAGAGTTAAGCCAGGTTTCGGTAAAAACAATTACTTTAAAGTCATTTAGAAGGATGTTTTTCAAAACATCATTGGTCTTAGTTCTAATACCACGAATATTTTGATAATAGATATCGAACTTAAGAACGATACACCATATCTATTTTGAAACCATAGCAACATGGATATCATTTGATCAACTTCAAATCTTCAGTGTTACGAATAAGTAAAAATGTGCCAGACTCGTCCTTACGAACAAATATACGACCGTTACGTACCCACGTAAACTTGTAGCCTAGTTCCTTAGCTTTAAGGCGCGCAGCAGCATGCAGAGATTTGTTCGTAGGTGATAAATGTTCACTCACATAGACTGGTCTTCGAGCATCACCAAATCCCAGGTGTTGAGAACTAAGTTTATCATTTGGGTTCTTTTTGTTGAAGACAGTGACGCAGGCAAGAACCGTATCTCGATGACGGGGGGTACGAAACTTAGCAATTACTGTACGGGGCCTATCGCTATCCTTATTCAATTTAGAAACCCGTGTCACATGGAGTATATCTTCTTCGGCAATGGGGGCAGCAATGACCTTTGCAAGTTGCTCCATCGTTTGGACCAAGTTCTCAGTTTTGTGCTCAGGGATCCCATTTACTTCAATATTACACTCCCTCGTGTTTTGTTCTAGCATATTGAGTCGGTTGGATACATCGGCTAATGTAGACTTCAGTTTCCTATTATCCCCCTGAAGTTCATCTATCACATGAATTTTCTCCTCCAAACTAGTCTTCATCTCCTCGTATTTTTGGTTGTAGAAAGTCATAGAATCCTTTAATTCGTTTACTTGGTCGTTTAAAACTTTTAGCTGCACAGATACCAAGTCTCGTATTGTAGCGTGAAGTGTATCAGATAAAATGACACGCAGCCTTTCTTCTGTTAAGAAATCATTGTGACGTGGAGAATCTTTCTGCTCGCGTCTCGCTCGTATAGTGACATTATCGGCCTGCAACGGAGACGTCAGGTTATCAGATCCCGGTGGCGAAGCTACGCATTTCTTACTAACAGCAGTTTGCGACGAGGGCACCTCTGTGACAATATTATCAGCAGTAGTTGGTTCGGAACGCGCTGCCTGGTGGATCGGTGTGTTTAAATTCCCTGTTTTGGGCTGTTTGCAACTACATTCAGGACACTTCCAGTTACGTTTCCGCTCCTGATTCAAAGCATAAAAGCTATTAAAACGCTGGATGCTTACTTTAGCACACTCAATGTCATATCTTTTTTCACATGTCATACATTCCAAGAATTCCTTATTTTTTAATATGGCAGGACAGCCCGCACATTTGCCATAATTCGAAGCCATTATTGAACACGGTGGTCGTGTATAGTTAAATTACCCGTGAATGTTGAAATATTTTGCCTATGGCAACACTGGTTAACTGTCAATATCAATATGACAATTTTTATTCGAGTTTGGCAATTCAATTTATTGTTTGATGCAGGTAGTTTGGTTTATTCTTCTTGACAGACCCAGAATAAATTGATGTGAGGGTAGAAAAATCACACTTAGCTTTTCATATTTCCACGATTATAGCTGAAGATGATCTTGTATAACCACACCACAGGCCATACCGATGGAGCACAACACTTTAACTATCTGAATAAGAGGTGTAGTGAGTTATTTGAGAAAATGTTAAGAGCGCAATGTTTACAGTTCACGTTTTTTTTTTTTTTTTTTTCTATAATGTATATGTGAATTATAACTTTTATAAGAAATAAATGATTAGTTAATTGAGTTTATTGTGTTTCTATAATTTGATTAAATTGCTTCATTTTTTCGCAACTGTATTAAAAATAGTCGTTCAGTACACGTACGGAACCGTCATTGCAACTCGTTCCGACTGTCAACCCTCGCCTTCGGCTCGGGTAGACATTTGTCGGAACTCTTTGCAATGACAACCATTCCGTACTAGTAATGAAATATACTATTAACAAATGCCTCACTATATATTATGTTTAATCAACTGTGTGTGTTTGTTTATATCTGTAATCTGTAGGTCGATCTAGGAATAGCTGTTCATTCGTAGCACTTGTGTTGCTATTTCGTAGCACTCGTAGCAAAGGTGAGCGTCGTAACGCTACGAGGCTCTACGAGCGAGTGCCGCGCGGTGCTCGGTGACGTCACGCAGTCACTCCCCACCCCCGAGCTTTCAGCCTTTACAGTCGATAAGGGCAGCATTGTGGACCGGGAGCTGTAGCACTAAATATTGTATTCTATTGATGAAAATATATTTAGTGATTTGATATATTAATATATATTTAGCGAAGCGAAAAATACCTTAAGATTTAAGCAACCAGCAGTTAAAGAAAATTTACTAGAAAAAATTCAGGCAGCAGACAGACAGACAGAGGGACATGTTTTATGTTTAAGAAGGCGATTACCAATTTTTGCTTCTTTACAAAATAATTTTGTATTTTTTGCCACTTAAACGTTGAATTGATTGTTTTCTTTAGATAAAGTGAAGAACAAATAGAAAAAAACCTAATAAATCTAAATAAATGCAACTAAGACAAATGCCTGATATACAAAACGCGGGTTTACTCATTATCAGCGAGTTCTGCCACATAATTCAGTGAGATTTTAATTAATGAAACAATCATGCATGTTTTGAATCAAGATACACTGACTTATATTTAAACTTGATATAAATTTTATGAAAGCAACGTGTCCGTACCCATGCTGAACTGAGAGCTATGGGAACACGTAGATTAAGTATTTGATCATACATAAAGTGATAGAGCTGTTTGAATAACTTTTATGAGTGATAGGCAAAAAATTTTGCACAATATGTTAGGCTCTGGGTTTAATTGGTATCTTTAAGGTTTGAATGTAGAATTAAGATTCATACTGAGACCCTGGTCTTACAGTTAACTTTCGATATACCATCAACGTTCGTCCTACTACTAATGTACATAGTTTTGATGTTGGAGGAGTAGGACACGACACGACACTACATTATATTTATTACTTGAGGTCTAAATCCAAATAAACAGTCTCCGGCACAGTGAGAATGTTCTGGCTCTTTGACATTTGACCATTTGTCGCAATCCTAAAGGAATCTAACACTTTTCCGGGATAAAAAGTATCCTATGTCCCAATCCGGGTCATAAACTTCTTGCGTAGTGCATACCAAATTTTATCTAAATCCATTCAGTACTTTTTGCGTGATTGAGTAACAAAAAAATAAACTTTCACATGTATAATATCAGTCAGGATATTAACTAATTAAATTAATTGGACATCTATCTTTCTCAACGGAGATAATCAAATATGTCTCTTTGATAAAAAACGAGTTTGCTTATGACCACATGACTTAAGTGAAACCTCTTTAACTCCAATTCTATGTGTATATATATATATATATATTAGTGCAATATATACATATTATTTCATTTACTAGCTATAAGAGAAAGAGAGAAAGAAAATGTGCGCGCGCACTGCTCTCTTTTGATTATATCCCCCACTCAAATCCCGTTCGCCTCGACCGAACATACGCGTAACGCGTAACGCATTCGACAGTTTACCCCCCAAGTCAAGCGTGCGTAAAGAAGTTGAACTTCAAAAACTGTTCAAGATTTGACAATAGGGCTGATGACGTACAGAAACGAAATTCTGTTTAGTCCGTCAGTTAGATGATCAAAAAATAATGGACACGTATTTTTTCTTTGGGCAATCAACCAAAATATGACAAAGTTATAGCGCGTCAAAGTTTGGGAGTAGGGGTTCGCGACGTCACTTTTTATGAATATTCGCTTAAAAGTGTACTCAAACGTGACGTCATGCGACTTTTCAAATCAATATTTATCTCTGCAATGTTTATATTATGTGAAAAAAGAAAAAATACGTGTCCAATACTTTTTGATAATCTACCTGATAAACGAAGAAATAAAAATTAGTCATCATCCCTATTAAACAATAGATGTAAGATTTGAATGGCACGCTCTCGGTCGAGGCGAGGTTGCGGCGCGGCGCTCGCAGCCAGTCGCTCGCCGCTCGCCGCCGGACGACACGCGCCGCGACACGACACACGCGACACGCGACACGCGACACGCGACACGCGACACGCGACACGCGACACGCACACGCCGCGGCGACGCCACGCGCGAATACACGACCAGCGCACAACATACGAGTCACAACTTTGTATACTCGTATACAGCTAAATCCAGTGCGTCTCGTGATGATTAAAACTTCCTAATGACACCTTTATCATGACGTGTAATTTCAGAACTGTGCAAAGGATCATTTAGTACTTGTTTGTTGTAATTGAATAAATAAAAAAAGTTGAAACAAAATAAGAGTGTACAAGTTCAGTGAAATATGTGATAAATTATGGAAACGAGTTAATAGTGCAGCGGCGGTCCGTTGAAAGATTTTGATAAGAAGGTAAAACGATATAATTATAGTTGTATAAGATAGAATATATAATTGTAAGATAGGATTCAAATCTTTTACTTAAATAAAATTATATTATTTTGGTTAACTGGAAGAATTAAATAAGTATTTGGTTTTTTTCAACGTATATTGTATCTTTACATCTATATGAATTTTAATGAAATTTTCGCTCTACCGAGAGCTTGTATTAATAAAAGACAAGGATAAAGTTTTGTTAGTCCTAGTTAATTAATTAATATATATCATAACTGAAAATTATACTAGAAAACATTTCAATGCCACTGCTGATTTTAAAATACACCATGTTTCACTATGTCTTATAGCCAACATTTCTAATCAATATTAAAAATGTAAGAATATTTGTTTTTCGTCACTTATTAATCTATTTAAAGCCACGGAATTCACTTGTTCATTTTAAATTTAAGAAACTTAGAGACCTATAATGCGATACTCCCCTCTCTTTGAATTGCATATACATATTTGTATCACCGCTAGAATAACTAAAAAAACGATGATGTAACTAAAAATTTACGGTTTTCGCATTTTTTCCTTTACCTGTACTATAGACGTTACTTCGGAAATTTGCGGCATAAACGACTGTATCTTTTGATTGCTTTGGCTTAGAAGTTGGATTTTTTCATAGCTTCAAGGGACAGTAGACCTGAGTATTAGATATGAATTTCAGTTTGATATCTCCACGCGTTCCTGAGAAAAACGGTCTTGACAGACGGACGGACGGACAACAAAGTGATCCTATAAAGGTTCCGTTTTTTTCTTTTGAGGTACGGAACCCTTTATTAGTGTTTAACAATAAATTAAAGAAGATCATATCGAACGTTTTTTTTTCAGCTTTAAAGTTTTTCACCATGTCTGTTTTCTGAACAATGACGCCTGGAATATATACCTCACGTACTCACACACTACAAAATCCAAAGAAAATACTTCAATAGCTGCAAAACTGATCCAGTGGGCAGTTTACCAGTAGCTATAAAAAAATTATCGATCAAATGCTTCAGCAGATCTGTCTTCTTAAATTTTACCTCAAAAAGCCACACCACCAGGCACATATAAAAATATACAATGAAAATTAATTCCTGATAAAAACTAAAAACACGCTTTTATTTACTGCACTAAAAAGCCAAAAATAAACGTTATTTTTCTCTTTTTAGTTTATTACTAGCGGCCCGCCCTCGCTTCGCTTCATTGTAGAGCTGAAGTGTAGACTACAGTTTTTGTTCTCAGGCTTGTATTATACACAATGACATTCATCTACGATTCTTCTTATACCTGCATGCAAAGTCTCAGCCCGATCGGTTTAAAATTGACAAAGTTTCATACAAACTTTCATTCCCCATTTTATCCCCTTGGGAGTAGAATTGACCAAAATCCTTTCTTAGCGGATGCCTACGTCATAACATCTACCTGCATGTCAAATTTCAGCCCGATCCGTCCAGTGGTTTGGGCTGTGCGTTGATAGATCACTATGTCAGTCAGTCACCTTTGAGGTTTATATATATAGATATTCATTTAGTTCCCACGAGTAGCGAACAACTAAACGGTCGACCTCCTCAAAGGTTCGTGTAAGGAGGCAAGGCTACTCACAACAGGGTGTGGCCCAGTGCCCTGAGGTGACGCTTGCTATATGAAATATTTAACCATCCTCGTACCATTCATCCCTTGGCACGTTTCTTACCTTGGCTTGGGTGGGATCTGTTTTTATTACCCCTCTTTAACGTGGAATAACAGAATATATTAAGACAATTTTAATGAGCCCAAACTCGATATGTTTACTAGTAGGCAGTCCAGGGTCCATCAGCCACCTTCCAGTCCCATCATCAGACCAGCTTGATGGTGCCATAATATTGTATTGTCATCTAATATGCATAGAATTTATTTATTTATCTTTAACAAAGTTTCTACAGCGGTTTTTTGTGAAATTTAATACAATAAAATATAGATATAATCTTAAGGCCAATTACAGAAACTCATTACGTACACATTAGATATTATCGGCGTTATTATATGTCAGTAATTATTACATTAAATTAAATTTAATTTTAAAAATTGTATAAAAATCATATAATTCACTTACATAAATAATAAAATAAATATAAGATTGGACAAAACATAGCAAAAAGACAAAAAGGAAGAAAAGCAAACACTGAATATCCATATAAAAGGGTTTTCAAGAATTTGTCACATGATAACTTTATGAAGTGTGTGTGTGTGTGTGTGTGTGTGCGCGTATGTGTGTATGTGTGTGTGTGTGTCCATGCAGCTGCAATGCTATGCCTGGTAACGAGATGGCGGACGCCGCAACCCGGACACTACTATTTCCAAGTTTTATTATGTTAAGACCAATCTCATGAGTCGAAACATACAAACACCTTTCCCTTTCCTTTTTTCGGTTGCACACATTTGGTGGCATATTCACAATATAAGTGAAGGTACGTTGAATACTGGATATAGTATGAATTCGTGCGAGTTTGAGGTTTCGGTCTGCTTACCTTACATCGTCAATAAGTCTCTAGACAATCTTTTCTACTTAATAATGCAGTTAATGAAGTGTAAAATTCAGGTCCAGAAACTGTCCTGCAGTGTTTTCACTGTAGCAAGTACCGGCCTTCAAGAGGATGCCAAGTTTTGAACTACAGTTTAAGTAACGATTTTAAAATCTAACGGTACGGTGTAGTCTGCATCCGCCTCATTATTAATATTCACTTCAACCTTTTCTGCTCTCTGTAATTGTTAAGTTCAAATTTCATTTATCTATCAATACTGTCAAAAGAATATTTTACTATCAGTAGTGCAGAAGAAACGTTACAAAAACAAATATAACAAAAATAAAGTGTGCAAATATAATAAAAAGCATATGTGTTCACATCCGTTAGAAGTGAAACTTACCAGAACGCGATCACGTAAAAGTCCTTCATGATTGCGTACTGTCAAGTACTGAGCAAAATTAAATATTCTATACTTAAATTGTTTCGAAAAATAAAAAAAATATGGGTGCGTGTACTTAAGTACGCGCGTGAGAAGTTATACTTCTTTTTGGAATTATTAAAAAATAGTTTTTAATTGCATGCAGATAATTAATTACAATAAGATAATAAAAGGATTGGAAAAGGATAGTCAACGCAGTCAATAAAGTTCAGTTTTAATTAGAAAAATTTAATAAATAATCAAAATATTCAATTTAAATCACAACTGAATAAAATTTATTAGCACATATAAATTTCGCATTTGTATAACATTATAACACGTGTTAAGAATATAGAAACTAGAAACATGTGGATAAATATTATAAATATGAAAACAGTGATCAGAGGCGACGAGCGTCCCAACATGTGCGACTAAGAGATCCTATTACTATTTTGTTGGAAGCTTTTTTTCGAGACTTACGAGTAATGAATGGTTTAGCGGCCGACTTCATGGTGTTACTTTTATGTTACAGTGTTGCGCGCGCATCTTAAAATTTCACTCTCATCATTTTTTCATACCGCGCCCGCGGCTAACTTCATTATGTTACTTTTGTGTTACAGTGATGCGCGCGCATCTTAAAATTTCACTCTCATAAATTTTTCATAACGCGGCTAAAGAAGTATAACTTCAATAACAGCGTAATAAAAGAATAAAAAAAACAATTACAATAATAACCGAGCTCAGGATCGAACCACCGATCATTTGGTGTCGATTCCAATACCGTTACCGTTCGGCTATCTGTCTCTTGCAGAGAGTAACAAAATTACGGATACCTTGTGTCAAAAACAGTTAAATTTTCGTTTCATCGAAAATCAAATCACAACGTTGCTAAAGAAGTTTTCACTTCAAAAGCATTCAATATTGTTTGTTAAACCCCTGCAGGAGCATTATTTTTTGTACAATAGAAGTGAAGTACTTATTCTTACATGGCCCTTATAAATAAACCTGCGAACTCTACGACTGCCAGCGATCAATAAATTATAACTTCCAAATATTTCTCCTGAGTTTAATTCAGGTATCAGATTTATGCCTAAGCTTATGATATATATAAACTACTAAGACAAAGTTAGACTATGAAAAGTTGGAGCTGACTGGCAAGGACTCATGAAAACAAACACCTGTGTTTAGCAGCTTTAGGTTGACTACCGCCCAAATATCTTGCTAATGCAAAACATTTGGGCAATAAGTCAACCCTCCGAAATGAATGTATTCAATATACCTCATAAATAGGGTTTGAAAATGTAAGCCACAGTTTGCTATAAGATCAGAATAGTAAACGTGTCGCTTTATGACAAAGTTTATTTAGCAATCACAACGAATGCTAGTTTGAGCGAAAATAAATTCCTTCTATCTCCCAAAGCTGAACGTAAGAGGGTTCTCTTTTGGAATGATCTGCACCCATCAGTATCCCTCATGAAATTGAAATGAGCGGAGTTGGAAAGTGTACCTACCATCCCTACTGTTAACTTTCGTGGGGGTAAATGTTTTCACTTCAGAAGTATCGACGTTTACTTTCGGCGGAGTTGCTTCATGCGACGGGGCCACTCCTCCGCTCTCAACTTCCTTCTGCTTTTAAGCTTACTCTTAACTATCCATAATTTATTCAACAATTCTACGTGTAGCTAAAGTTTCACGTTAGTGTCTCTTAACTAAAGACATACATTATTAATTTATGGAATAATTTTCACTATTTTAGATATTTACTAACCTTTGTAACCCGTAATCCTTGCTAGTCCTTTCTAATATTTAAATGCGAATGTGAGTTTGTTTTTAACGCTTTCACAGCTCAGCCTAAACAGCTGAATCGATTATAACTTTTCTCGTGGTAAAATAATTTTCAGGATTTTTTCCGTGCAGGCAAAGTCCCGGGCACTCGCTGGTGACTTATAAACAACAAAGAAGATATTTGTTAAAATCTAAAGAAAATATAACTAGAAAAAATTTGAAGAATGGCAGCAAACGGGACTCGAACACTTACATGCTTAAAAAATAAAAATTATAAAGCTATT